TCTGCAGTTACTCTAGGATGAGTACATACTCACATCTGACTATCTGAAACTAGAAGCCTCAAATGAGAGAGAACATGCACTGTTTGTCTTCCTGGATCTGGGTCACCTCAATCAATATGATCTTTTCTAGTGCTATCCATTTGCCTATGAATTTTATGACTCCATTTTTCTTTACAGCTAAATAGTATTTCATAGTCTATCCATTATTATCTATCCATTAGTTGGAAGACATTTGAGTTGTTTCCATTTTCTAGCTATTGTGAATAGAGCCTCAATGAACATAGCTGCAAAATAGGCCATTGAGTCATTTGGGCATATGCCAAAGGGTGGTGTAGATGGGTCATACGGTAAATTTATTTTTAGCCTTTGAAAAACTCTCCACACTGATTTCCATAGTGGTTGACTGGTGTGCAATCCCACCAACAGGAAATGAGTTTCCCTTTTCCCCACATCCCCTCCAGTGTTTGCTGTCAGTTTTTTCATTGACCTTTGGCATTCTGAAATCTCAAAGTTGTTTTGTTTGCTTTTTTGTTTACCATTTTCCTAATTCCTAGGGATTATGAACATTGTTTGAGATGTTTCTTAGCCATTTATCTCCAAAAACATTCTTTGCTGTGTCACAAGTTTTAGTGTTTTTGAGAAGGGTCATGTGACTTACTTTCCCCAGATAAAAGTTTGAGGAGACTGCTCTGCCTTTTCTGCATAGAGACACACATCTTCAGCTCTGGCTGACTTTCTTTTACTGGTTTTGTTGCTGTTTGTTTATTTTTAATAGTTGTTTTCTTTTGGGTTTTGCCCTACTCTAGTGGTGTTAGAACCATCATTTAGGTGCAGTGTGATTTGTTGCTATGTCAGTGGTGAAGATGGGTCCATGAACCAACTGCTAAGGCACAGAACCTCAGCAGTACAAGTCTATGCTCAGACCTCAGCTTGAGTTTACTTTACCTTGTGTTTCTTCTTTTCCTTATACTTAAAAGATGTTTGCTAATAATCAGTATAGCATATCAGACCAGCAGTAGCCTCATATATGTCCTATTTAATAGGTCTCTTCATTTTGTCAAGAGGGCTGCAAGTATGGACTAACTTACCTATCTAGGTACACTCCGGGAGTCACATGATGAAATTCTCTAGTGACAATTCTTTGAACATATCCCCAATGATACACAGCTGTATCACAAAATCAGATCATGGTAGCAGGTCATGAAGGAACCAAACCAGTCGCTCTCCCCTTCCTCTTTGTGCCCAGCCATAGAAGATGTTCAGTTAAGCTGCCCTCTATGTTCGTAAGGCCCAGGCTCCTGAGAGACCCAAAACCACAGCACAGAGAACAAGTCTTTCCTACTAGAAAAAAAGCCAAGCCATGTCATTGAGAGGGAGCAACATCATTCATTATAAAAGGTCAAGGTGGCCCTTTACAAAGGCCATTCCTGTGAGAAGGAAGTTCTAGAACTGAACAGAAAGATGAACTTCCTTGAACAAAGTTTTCTTCTCTGGAAGGTCGGAGGACTTCCTGGTTGGCAAAAATATATATTCTCAAGGATGGAGATTATGTGTCATAGGTGGAGATGCAAACTCCCTGGTGACTTCACAGAAGGAGGGCATCTCAGCCACACATACTAATCCCGGGCTGTACAATTTTCCTGGGACATATACTTCTGCCTCTTTGGTACTCTTTCTGTTTAGAAAATTTACTGTGTGACATTTTAAAAGCAAAATAGATGCAAAAATAAATAGAAATAAATGTAAAATATAACCAAAGGAGGTGGAAATTCTAAGCATTTATCATAGATTTCATTTTAGAATCTTCAAGTAATCCTGAAACAGATGCCAGTTTTAAAAACAGATTTTAAGGATTAGAGAGACAGCTCAGTGGTTAAGGGCAAGTACTCTTCCAGGGGACCTGGGTTCGTTTTTCAGCACCTACATTGGTGGCTCATAATCACTTATAACTCAAGCTCTGAAGGCATCTGGTGTCTCTGGCCTCTGCAGGTGCCTGCACTCACATGCATATATACCCACCCACAAATACAATAAAAATAATGAAAGCAAGTCTTTAAAACCAGATTTTGAGGTTTCCTGAAGACCAGGTACTATGAAATTCCATCACCACATCATAACCAAATGATAGTAAACACATTTCTAAATTCCTTGCTGAACTCAAGGAGAATGAAGAAAATGTTAAACTTAAGAAAAAGATACCTGTTAATAGAGTTGAAATTAGCACAAGGTCATAAAGTTGGTTCCAGAGTTGATGGAGGGGCAAGAGAGGGACTAGTAATTCATGACGTCTCTGTACCTTGGGAAGGGTAGAGGATGCTTCCCTGCTGACCAGCATCTGCTGCATGTGGATGAAAAGGCTGTACCTCAATTGGCATGCTTGTTACCTCTACCACAAAGTACTCTATAAGTGTTAAGTGGTATTTCTCTTCATGGGCATTATACTCTCTAGTTTCAGGATAACTAAAAGCAAGATAGAGTCATTTTGAAAAAAGGAACTTTAATTGAGAAAATACCTCCACCAGATTGGCCTGCAGGCAAGCCTGTGTTGATTTTCACAAGACCAACTCACTGTGGGCAGTGCCAACGCTGAGCTGGTGGTTCTAGGTGCTCTAAGAAAGCAGGCTGAGCAAGCCAGGAGAGAGCAAGTCAGTGAGCAACATTCTTCCATGGCCTCTGGATCAGCACATCTTCAGATTCCTGTCGTGTTTGAAGTCTTGACTGGAAACAGGAAAGTGGGCTAAACCCTTTCCCTCTCAAGTTGCTTTTGGTCATGGTGTTTTATCATAGCAATAGAAACCCTAATTAAGACGGTCACATTCCACAGAACTGGACCTTGTTGCCTCAGATGCCTTTTGTGGAGGTTTTAGCAGCTGCCTGGCATTATTTTCTGTTGTGGATAAATATGACCATCTGAGTAAATATTGTAATTAGGACCATAATGGCACATTTTGGCTCCCTTTGATAAATAATACCCACTAGGACCATAATGCCATTTTGGCTCCCTTTGATAAATAATACCCACTAGAATTGTTTCTTAGATATGACATTAATGATCACTGATGGCCAAACTGTTCAATTTACATAAAGAATTCTTGGCTGAAAAATCTTTCTGCGTGTGAACACCACCATCAAAGCAGAAACATGAATGAAAGGCTTCTGGTAACTGTTTCATTATCTGTAATAATGAGACAGGATTCATAACAGAAGAAAGTCAGGCACTGGAAACTGGCAGACCTCAGTCGGTTATTTTTGTGCCAAGAATGTGGAGGCAATATAGACAAAGAGCATAGGGCTGGAAACGCGGCTAGCGAGTCCATAATTCTCCCAGTCTTCATTCTTATGGAGCCTGGTATTTGTGTTTGTTTGGAAATGTTACTAAGATTTCTGTAAAGCTTAAAAGCTAACGTCTGTAGGTTAGAAATAGAAACCATGTTAGGATTATAAAATTTTTCAATTAGCAAAGTGGTCAGATAAAGATGGATCCCGGTGACATCATAAGGCTGTGACTCATTCCTCTTGTGATTATGTTATATTGCCTTATTAATCTTTATAACATTTAAAAAGATGACAACAGCCATCTGTCTTCAAGATGCTCTTTTAGTCTCTGGCCTCTAGTCGAATCTCTCCATTTTTCACTTTCTTAAGATTCATTGATTGTGAGAAAATTCTCTATGCTCTTCAAATTGATTCCAGCTTTCTTTAAGGTACTGAAAAAAAAACCTGGACTTTTGGTTCAGATGCTAAATGCTGGCTCTGCTAGGACTGCCACAAAGCTGCGGTGGAGACGGTGTAAGCCTTTGTTGAAGAAAGACTGAGCCATTGGTAGTGACACCTGCCCCATCAGCACCAGGGACCATCTGCCCGATGAAGCAGATCGCTCCATCACTGTGAGTGGGGAGGCTTGGGCAACACAAGGCAATAAGCCCCTTGTCTTACTGCCTTCTCCTCACCCTCCACTGTTGTCATAGCACATTGCAGTCGGTGCAGCTTACACTATGCCGGGGCACTCTGAAGCCCCTTTACCCAGCAGCCAGAAAGGCCTCTTTGGGGTCTGTGTGTTCAGTATCTCAATTCTGTGTAACTGGTGAGGTGACAGCCAGTGACCTCGCATCTCTTTTCTGGAGACATGGAAGAATAACACTGTTCTGAAGAAGGAGAGAAAGTCTGAGAGGAGGAGCTCGGAGGAAGGAGGGAGGGGAGTCTGCATCCCCAAGGTCTCTGGCTGCCCTGCTCCTTTAGGCAGGAAGTAATCTGATATATCAGAGAAAGCTTCTGTGGTGTTTAGAAATCAGAGAGGGTGTCTGTGTGTGAGAGGAGGAAGTCCTGTGTGTGCCCTGGAAGAAAAGACAAAGAAAATTCACTGCTCCTCTACTGGGAAACACCAGAATTCAGAAGGCAAGATTTCCATTCTGGCTGCACAACCACATCTTCATCACACTGAGAATTTGGACAAGATGGTGGACCAGAACTATTGCATGCCCATTTTCAAATGGTTGATACAATGTCAACAGAACAGTAGAATATAGTGCATTTGGGAGAAGAGTACAAAATCCAAATCTCAGGGCTCACAAATACCGTTCTGTTGAACCACAGCCCTGCTCATCTTTGTGTTTCAACCATGTCTGTAACAACAAGGACAGAACTGAATAGCAGCAACAGAGATCAAATGTGCTTAGAACCCAAAACACTAAATACATGGCTCTGTTTAGGAAAATAACGTCAATTTCTGTCTATGCTCTTTAGAAAACGAGAGACTAAAGAACAAGTCAAAATGTCCAGAGTAGGATAGAGCTACAGAAAGACAGATTGTTTCACTAAACCTTACTCACCTGTGTATTTAACTAAACCTTTTAATTCCACTGACCTTGATTCCCCCACAACTTATTACTCTGTGTGTGCTTTCAAAAGTATAAAACATGTAGATTAAAGTTTTAAAATTCCAAATGATTTCTGGGAAATCTGAAAGCTTCTAAAGACATGGTATATATTGTTTTTTACAGCCATTCACATGAATGAAGAGTCATATACGAAAGACCATCTTTCAGAATTGTGGGTTCAAATCAATGTAAGTAGAGTTCGCAAGCTTTGCTGAACTTTCAAAGGAAGAGGAATAATAAATGTCCTTTGTTCTTGGAGCCTGCCAATCACATATTTTCCCTTCATTGTGGTTTTCAAAATTCTTTTTACAAGATTAAGGGACATTACCTTACACAGTATCTCTAAATATTTTTGTGTGTTTGCATGGTATGTGCATGTGTACATGTTTTATGTGTGGTATATGCATGCATTGCCAGTATATCTGTGTGTGGAGGCCAGAGGTGATGGTGCTTGTCTTCTCTGATGCTCTATGTCTTAACTTTTTTGAGGCGGGGTCTCTCCTTAAACCCAGAGTTCACTCACTTGGCTAAATCAGCTAGCCAGTGAGCTCCAGGTACACTCTTACATCCACCTCCCCAGAGCAAGGATTATAAGCATTTACCACCATTCCTGAGTTTCAGTGTGGGTGCTGGGGACCTGAACACAGGTCCTCATTGTTGAGCAGTAAGCATTTTTACTGATTGAGCCATCTCCCTAGCTCCCTGTTTAAGTTTTTGACAGAAATCCCTATTATGTGGACCCATGAAAATTGCTACCATGTTGGTGGACCATAAGAGGAAAACACAAACTCAAGAAGATCTGGCTAAAGAAAAGCAAATAAAATATGTAACACAGCAGTGGCAAGGAGAGTTGTGTGATCCTGAGGCTGCACTGGGGGTGTCAGAGTTACTGGTTCGTGAGAACATCAAGGTCATATCCATCAATAGGGACCTTCCACCTCCCCAGGGATGGAGTAAGACTTCAGAATGCTAGGTTTTGATGTGGCAAAGAGAGACAGCCATAGTTATTTTAAGCAGAAAGTTGAGGACACAGAGTTAACTGCATAGGTAATTGGGGATGCGGGCAGGGCACATCTAGGCTGAGCCCTTAGGAGACCCCCAGGACATGGTGGAGCTTACCAATTGGGAGAACAGCTACCTCTTTCAGGAAGGTGAAAAGTCAGAAAGCTGCTGAGGATTTGGGTATTTATACTGCCTCCCCATCAACCGCTTCCTGATTCCCATGATTTGCCACCAGAATTTGTCCCACAAATGTTTTCCTAGTGAAATATGGTCAATTGGTCAATTCATCTCTGATTCACCCTGCTCTCTAAAATATGCACAGATGCAACTAAATGGGATTATATTGATGGCTAGATCCCTGCTGTCATAGATTCTGGGAAATGTCACTTTTAGATTTCTAGGCTTAAGGGAGACTTGCAGGAAGAAAATGAAAGGGTACATAGAGCTCCGTCATCTGTGTCTGCTTCTTGCTGCTGTTGTGGTTGAAAACATAATAAATTTTCTTTTCATTCTTGAGGTTAGAGCTGAGGTCACCGAGTCTTACAAGGCTAAAATCTGTGTCAGAGGTGCATTCCTTCTAGGGGCTCTGGAGAAGAAACCTTCCATCAAATACCTTTCCCTGCTTTTAGAGTCTTTCCACATTTCTTTGACCACATCATTCTGCTTTCAGATTCTCTTATCACATAGTTCTGTCTGACTTTGACCTTCATATCCTCTTCCTATAAAGACTCCAGTTTATAGGGTGGTGTGGGAAGTCCCTCTGCATATGTGTTGCTTTTATTGGTTAATGAATAAAGAAGCTGCCTTGGCCTGCAGTAGGGCAGAATGGAGCTAGGTAGGGAAAACTAAACTGAATGCTGTGAGAAAGTAGGCGGAGTCAGTGAGACACCATGTAGCTGTCACAGGAGGAAACAAATGGCAGAACCTTGCTTGTAAGCCACAGCCACGTGGTGATACACAGACTAATATAAATGGGTTAACTTAAGATGTAAGAGCTAGCTAGAAATATACTTAAGATATTGGCCAAACAGTATTGCAAATAGTGTAGATTCTGTCAAGCCAGTTAAGAACAAGCAGCCTCCCACAACAACAGGGGGCTAAGTAGATACCCAAGGACAACCGCCTGTCTCTAGATCCTTAACTTCATCTCTTTGCAAAATCTCTTCTGCACAATATAATACACTTGTAAGGATTATGGCATTGATATCGTTGGTGGAATGGAAGACATTATTCAGCTACCACATCCCAACTAGTAAAAAAGGAAATATTCAGTGACTAGCTGCTATGTGCTAGAAAAAAAGCATATATTCTGCATTAAACATACGTTCCTGTTATAAGTGAGAAAGGAAGTGAAAAGGTTAGAATACTGTCTCATCTCTTGGTGATAAAAAGGAATGAATTATTAAGTCCTTAAGGGAAGAAATAGAGCTGGTGACTCACAACTGTAATCCACATCCAGGAGCCTGAGGCTGGGTGTTTGTAAGTTTAAGGTCAGTTTGGACTAGACCATGAGGATGTTATAAACCAAACCCAAAACAAAATTATAAGGAAGAACCTTAAATTTACATTGCTAAGTGGATGAAGTTTGAACACAGGCTGTGTGCTTCCAAGTATGCAGGATTCTGAGGAAGTGAGAACTTAGAATGTTCAGAGATCCCCACAGTGTTGGGGGTGGGGCAGAAATTGTGAACAAAATGGATCCCCTGCCACTGCATCCATGAAGAATAGCTTTAAAATTTTTTTGATGTTATAAACCACCTGTGACAACATTTTTATGCATGTACCCTTCTACAATTTTTAGACTATTTCTGATATGGTATTTCTGGGATAAGCCTTAGAGACACATGGCATCACCTTCCAAAGCCATTTCATGTATGTTCAGCAGGATGAGTGGCTTGCTGACAGTGACTTACAGCCACTCATGAGGAGAGTTGCCTGTACTTCCTTTACACATTGTGTTCATTGGTATCATGCTCTTTCTTAACAGGACACCGTGCAGGTGAATTGGCTTTTTGAACCATTGGACTTCTGGCCTTATACATTGAAGCAAGTCTCCTCCTAGTATACACATGTACAGTCTTCCTCTCCAGAGGAGACAACTAAAGCTTGTGCAAGAGAATGAGGTAGCTAGCCCCTGAAAATCAGCAAATGCTACAATCAGAGCTTCCTTGTTGTCCCAAGAATTGATCACTAAACACCAATGAACACATCATTAGGATGTGTACATAAAGCCACTCAGTACTTTTAAAAAGGGTTCTTTAGTTTGTACTTAAAAATACACACTGGTGTGTCAAGGGCTGTGGAATTATATAGAAGGTGATAGTGTTCAGAAGTCAACCCACCAGAAGAATGATTCTCTGATGGAGGAGAATCCTGTCTAGGCAGGGTCTACAGGACCACCGACTCTGGAAGCTGTTGCTCCTGTCTGTAATTTCACATTTGATAAAGCAGTTATGATGTCTCCCCAGTACTTGCACTGTAGTGTGCAATTTTATATGACATGTATGAGTAATCTCATGATTTCCACTCAATCTTATGGGCACACATACTCATAGATGGTCAGGAAAATGGCTCCTCATTAAGCTGTATGATTTTAATATGTAGAAAATATACGAGGCTATACTTCATAACTGATCTATTGTCCCATGAAGACTGTAAGACACTTAAAAGCCTGCTTTGTTCCTTTCACTCAAACTACACAGTTAGCTCATTTTCACCTCGGAGCAAGTTCAAACTAGACTGAATGTTTCTATAAATAGATCTTAAGTTAAAAACTTTACAGATATGTATAAGGTCAGAGTCGTCAGTGTCTAACTAAGGTTATTAACACAAAGAAACCTAAAAAATTCATGCCAATTCCTCGCTTTCCAAGTCTATCTGATAAAAGAACTATGTCTTACAGCTTGTCTCAAGGGGTCCTGTGTCCCTGGTCTCTGGTCACAGTCTTACACCAGAAACCTTGAAACTTTGTGTTGCCGTGGTACATGGCTCTGTCCTTATCGCTAACCCAAGGATTGTGATGTGACCAGTGAGATGTGAATCTTGTAACTTTTTATTTCCTTAAACCTCCTGTAAAAAAATGTATTTAAGTCATTTAAACAAAGAAGCAAGAGAGATTTGAAACATATCATTGGAACCTAAGATTTAGAACTACAGAATTGAAATTAAGGAATGAGAGCTGGAGAATTATAGACAATTAGGACAAGTGAGTTAGAACTAAAGATGAATAAACGAGAATGACCCTTGGGCTGTAGATGCGAGTCTTTATCCCTCAGATAAAAAAGCCTTAAGCTCAGTTTTACTTCATTGTAGACTTCTTTCTTGAACCCTGGCTACTATAGTCTTGAGAGCACGCCTGCCCTTCAAGCCAACTAATACTTGTGGTTAAAATAGAAGCCCTTGCTAGTTGTAATGTGGGTGCTCTAATAATGATAACTTGTAATGTCTGTTCTAGCTTTGGGTTTTCCCCCCATTTTTAAAACTTATTTAGATGTTGAAAACAAGTTCTACTTTGACTGGCATGTTTGGTACTCCTGGGTCAGTGTAGTCCATTAAGGACAACTGAATTTTACAGAGACTTGGCACCTTTACGTGGTAATTCCCGAGATGCTTACACTTTGGAGAACTGTGATTTAGAAAATCCTTTTAAATAATTGTTTTGGCGCATGTTGTTGATGCACAAGGACCATTAAGTCTGGGGACACTGAGAGATGAGAGACTCCATGATCATCCATTTAAGTTCCCAGGAGGCTCTCCTTGACCTTGGAGAAATGCTTTACTAAGCACACCTGTTGCCAGTGTTTTGGTGGGGTGATTGCTTGGCCCACTGTGTAATCTGGCTACAGGATACTATTCTTTCTCTGAAAAAAGGATCGTGAAGAAGGCACACTGCTTAATAAGCGAATTCAGCTCTGGGTTATGCAAGGAACCTGAGGGCCTCCTCCACCACAGCCCTACTGTATAATCAATGGACTTGCGATGGTGGTTCGCAGTCTATCATGTTTCCTCCCTTTCCTGCAAGGATTGGCAAGGAACTACTCTGAGGAAATTTCCTGGAGGAAGAATGATGGCCTCCTGCCTGACGGGAACACAGGAGTCTGCCCCCTCAAACCTCAACAAGCCTCAGTTTCTCCTTGGGAAAGCAAGTGTCCACATGGATATGCAGAAGGACAAGGACTGGATTCAATATGTGAGGCCTGAAGCCCAGTGGCTCCATGAGCCAGTTCAGGTGCAGCTGGAGAGGCATCAAATGCCACATCAACAGAAACAAGACTACTCAGAAGAAGCACGAGTAGGAGCTAGCATTCATAGAGGGCTGTGTGGGATGCATGCTGAGCTACGTGTTGTTTGTGTGCTGATTTGCTTTCCCTTGGAAAATAAGAGAAGGCCAGAGAGACTTTCCTGCTTTCATTCTTTATGTGGTTTCCAGGGGCTCCTATTGGGAGTGACCCATTCTGAGTCCAGTTTGTCCCCTGTACATGAAATCTCTATGGCTCACCTGTCTATTTGTGTCTCTCATGACTGGAACATGCGGTGGAATGAGACCATTGCAGGGATTTGCCATGAATGTGTTTGTGAAGACCAGAAATTCCTGGATTCTTTCACACTTTCTCTATGTGTTGTTCCTACATTTAGGTCTGTCTTGTTCCTGAGCCCAAGGGTTTCTCAGCCTTTACTAGGTCATCACACAGAGTAAGTACCAAGGTTTCTCTCTACCCCAGTCCTCCTCTGTTACAAACAAAGTTCACTGTCTGTCCAGCTTTAATTATTTGGTTTCAAATAGTCATATTTGCATGCACAAATACTTGAGCAATTGCAATGGTAATTAGCAGATGTACATTTTTTAGATTATTTTTAAAATCTTTTCTTGAGCTGGAGAGGTGACTTAGCGGTTAAGAGTACGTGCTGCTCTTACAGAGGACTTGTGTTTAGCACCCATGCCAGATGGCTCACAACTGCCTTAACACAGGCTCCAGGGTACCCTCTGGCCTCCGTGGACAGCTGCAATGACATGCAATTTACCCTCATACAGATGCACACACATAATTTAAAAATCAAAGATACCAAATATGTTTAAAATGTATATTTTTATCGTTTCTTCTGAATTGGAAGCCTCAAAACAGAGAGGTTCATTAACTAGTAGAAACAGAAAGAAATGGAGGTAGGTTCGAATTGTTTGAGTAGGTGATTAATTGTTTTTCTCTTCCTTTCTGTCTTTCTCCGTCTGCCATGTTTTCAGGTCTAAAGTTAGCTTGATCCAGCATTCTGGAAGATACTGTCTTTGAATATAATTAAAAGCTATCACTTTGATAAAACCCTAACTAAGCAGTTCAAAACGCCTGTATCCATGTCCTCCCCCCACCCCACCTTGGTGTTTATCTGGTTTGTGCACTTCTCCTCTGAGAGGTTTCAGCTTGGGAGGAATTGAAAAACATTTATTAGTATCATTATCTGAGGAAGTCTGAAAAGGTCGCATTGCCGGATGTAGTGGGAGGATACAGCAAGGTGAGACAGATGCCCGTCCTCGGGAACAGGGCAGAGCTATGGAGCGGGACCAGAAGCGGCATGGGCTGAACAGGCGTTGGGTGGACAGCACAGTGCGCTCTGTAACTCACGCACCTTTTTCAAAGCCTCCCGATTCTTCCTGGTTTGCTCGGGCCAATGTTTTCAAGTAGCTGCTGTGGAGTGGGAGCTGTGTGGATTCCTTGTTAATCAGGCTAACGACCACAGTGCTCTCTCACCGTGGTTTGGAAGTGACCACGGACTGCCTGCGTTCAGGTGCTGACTCGTTGCTTCAAATCTGATTTTAAAAGCTTTGTTGTTGTTTATTGTTGATTTGTTTTTCTATTTTCATCCAAAGGTGGTAAGAGTGGGATGAGAGAAGCATCTCTGAAGTTAGAAAAAGCAAACCGTGTTTCTATCCTAAATTTCTGAGGTAATTTCAATGCAAGACTAAGGTGAATGCGTCCTTGAGGAGACCGTTTCCCAGACCCCCTTAATTTAGCTGGAGAGGTCAGGGTGGCTTATACCACTCCAAAGGGAAAGCACTGGGCAGGGGCATCGGCTGGGTAACTGGGAGGCGATGCACTGCCGGAACGCCTGGCTCCACAGCCGAGTGTGGCGGCAGGAGACTGGCTCGGGTGAACTGACTTCGTGTGTTTCCTCCCTTCCTTCTAGAACTGCATCAGGTTTTATGGTGCAGCGGTCTGAGAGAGGGAGATATTGAGCAAATCAACTTTTTGCCTTCATTTAAGTCAACAGTTTGTGGGACTTGGAAAAAAAAAAGTCCACGTCTCAGACCTGGAGAAATGGCTCAGTGGTTAGGAACAGTTGCCACTCTTTGCTCTTGCAGAGGACCAGAGTTCAGTTCTCAGCACTCAAACTGGGCAGTTCATAGCAGCCCATAACTCCAGCTCTGAGGGATGGGAGGCCTCTGTCGGGGCCACTTTGAGGAGCCACTCTGGATGTACATGTGTGCACATATGTGTGTATGTGGGTTTTGTATGAGCATGGGTGTGCACCACATAAATAAAAGTAAAACAGTATTTAAAAATACTCTTATCTTGCTACTTCCCATCTGATGTTATTGGAAGCACATTAAATTCTGGGTTCTCTCTTTTCTTCCCATCACAGGTAAGATTAAGAACGCCTTAGATGACAGTGGTGTAACAGCCTCCAACCCGAACCTTTTTTGTTTTTAATTTTAGGCTTCCTGCCATGAATAGATAACTCCTCTGAGGACATCAGCATTTAAAGCACAAGGAAGCAAAGACTGTTGTCAGACCCAGCTTGCTAACTTTCCTCTTCCCAAACTGGCCAGTTTGCATCTCTTAATCCACTGAGCTTCAAACTGAGGCTCCACAGTAGGCTTGGTCTGCTTTTGTTTGCTTAGGGCAGAGACTTTCAAACATAGAGCAAATGTCCATAAAGATATTTCACTGGAAAGTGGACTTAGTTTCTCCTCATGTTTGTTCTTATTCCTTATGGATCTAAAGTGATTCAGTTTTGTAACAGCGGATTTTGAGATTGAGAACATCCCCTCAAGTCTTTCTTTTTTGCCAGGACAGAGAGGTGTGGAGACAGAAAAGTCAGTATCTAAGGGACTAAAGCAGCTTCTGGCCATCACTGCGTGGTCTCTTCTGCCTCAGCAGAGGATGTTGGAAGGATGCTGGGGATGGGGCAAAGGACACTGTAGGAGAGAAGCCACCATGTGCCTGCAGCTCTTTCCTTCTGGTGATTTCTCTGGCACATCTTTGAGTAGAGTTGTAAGGTCTGTGTTCAAGCAGGACTCCGTAGGTGAGGGTGTGGCCAGCTTATTTTTGAGTATGAAGTACACTTAATAAGCAGTGGGGTGTGTTCTGATTTCTTCCCAGTCTCCAGATTTCCTTTGTTAGATGGGCCACTGGGTTGTGTACGCCAGTGAAAGGGTACTGGTACGCTTCAGTTTGGGCCGCTGGACTCTGGGCCCTGATGCCTGAGTTGGAATTCTGGTTTGTTTGTCTACTTGCTGCTTGAATTATTTTGTTCTGTTTACTTTTTTTTTTCCTATTTGGCACATCTTTGGATCTCAGTTTTTTCATTTCTGATACAGAGTTAGTGTTAGTGATCACTGTTCTTCATCTTTTAAGGTTAGCTCAGAGATCAAAGATCATTTTAGTAGAATCTCAGACCTTGAAAATTATTAGCATTCTAAGCCCCTTGCCTAATGGAATTGTACAATAGTGCCAGGAGAGAAAGCTCACACCAAATGTTAGTCTGTTTTGAACTGTTATCACAAAATATTACAGCCTGGATACTTGGTAAGTGTGTGTGTGTGTGTGTGTGTGTGTGTGTTGTTTTTGTTCTGACTCACAGTTTTGGACATCTAAAGGCCTAGCGTTGGTGTTTTCTGGGGTCTAATGAGGTAGAGTCAACATGGTGGGATTATATATGGACAGACTCACTTGGTGAGGAAGCCAAAAGCTTGGATGGGGTCAGCCTTGCTATTTCCTAATCACCCTATTCTAAAGGGAACAAACTCACCTGCCTGTCCCTATGAAGGTGATGAGCAAGACATCTGACGACCTCCCACAAGGCCTCCCCTACTGTGTACCAGCCTCCAAGCTTCCCACACAGGCAGCTTCCAGGACACACTCAGCCCTGCTAAACCGCAGCACATGGTTTTCATGAGAAGGCAGTATTGTTTTGAAGGGAACTGAGCTACCTTTCTGCAGGAAGAGCGTATGGAAAATGTGAGCCCTCTGGCTTCGGTCGGGTTGAGGAAAGGGGGACTTTGCAGCCCCAAGCTTCATTTTTCAACAGCCACAGGCAGATCTTCAAGTGGCAGCCACTGTGCATTGTCCCGATGACTCAGAGCGCTTGCCCTCTCTACTGTCCTTTCAAATTAAATTCATTGCTCCACAAGATGCCTGTGCTTCCCAGAAATGACGCAAGTGCTGTGTGCCCTGTTCAAAGCCTGGACATTTGACTCTCAGGATACTCTCCCAAATGAGCTAGGCCCTGCCACCCACTGACAAGTCCAGTAAGGCCCCTTTCTGCTTTCCAACAGGGGGAATGGAACAGCTGTTTGCATTTCTCCTTCTAAAATCAAGTCTTACAAAGCCCATCTTGTAAAAATTTAATAACTTTGCCAAAGCACATTAAAAAATTAATTCCTTTCACTATGACTTGTCAAAATGTGTCACATCTGACCATTCAAAGGGTGAAAGGCAGGCGTTTCCCAGACGGTGAGAAGCTGAACAAAGGGTAGAGACTAAGATGCCTTTGTCCACACTCTGTCTCCCATCCTCAAAGAAGTCTCCAGTTCTTTCTCACCGAGGAGATGCAGATCCTCTGTATCACAGCAATGAGTTAGAAGCAGCTAACACATCAGTACCAAGAGACTACACCTACTAGAGCAGGGTGGGGGAGGGGAAGGCAGTTATGAAGAAGGCAGGAGAAGTTCACAAGCAGTGACTCAGCATCTGCCATGCTACTTGAGTTTCCCTTTAAAAGGGACAGCATATGCCAGTTGCTGCTTCTAACCGAGGAGATAGCCACACTTCCCTCCTTTTTGGTAATGAGGAGCTGGCCAGGAAAGGAAGCCCAGCTGCCCTTATAGTGGCACCAATAACAGTAAGAATACTTGGAGGTGGATGTAGGTAGAGTGTTCTTATGAGAGCCTGTGAAGAAAGATCCGGTACCCCTGTGGGGGGGAGTAGGGGGGGATGTGGAGGAGTAACTGAGAAGGTAAAGGACACAGGTCCTGAGAAACTTAAATGTCACCAGGCAGCTGTGCTGTTGAGAAACACCTGTGGTGCCTCTCTGGAAACACACTTCTCACTGTGTAAATCCAGACACCAAAGGAGCAAATTCATAGGAGGTGGTGGGTGGTGGAGGTGGGAGGGTTAGACATGGACCCCCTTGGGGACATTCCATTTCAGTGCATGCGCAGTGCACTAGAGACTCCCCCTTGATGCATGGAAGTCACCTCATTGTTCCTCCTGTTCTTAATGGAGCCTTGGGTGATAATAGCATGATTGACAGGAGTGGGGCAGCTTGCTCACGTGATTGCATGTGGGCTGCACGGTGAGCCTTATAAATGGAGGGACTGAAGCACTGAAAAAAAAGTTTGCGCAAAATTGCTTATTGTGTAAGTGGCCAAGGTTTCAGGCAGAGCCCAGCAGGCACCTTTTACTTCTGTTCCACATCGGAATGCTTGGGGCTGGAGAAGTTAAGACAACGCCCCACATATAGTTACCATGCGGCCTGCTCACTGCAGCCCCTGCTCCTCCGTGTCTGGGACTTGCCTTAAGGTGGCTTTAGCTTCCTCACAGCATGGGGCAGGTTCCAAGAGTATGTATTCCGAGAGGTATGTAAAAGGAGAAGCTGCCAGTCTTAGAAATGGATAAGGTTCCATGACATATTTGATTGTTTGTGAAGTCATGAAACTGGTCTAGATTCAAGGAGAGAGAATATGGATCCGTCTTCTCATACGAGCAATGTCAAAGAAATGCCAGTCTTATTTAGCATACTGCAGATGAAGGGTAAGGGCAGAGACTATCATTGCCATACTGTATGGCATATAAGCTAGCACCAAAGCTGATCTGCTTCCCAGCGGCTTTGCTTAGGCTTGAACTGCAGCGACTACCCTGTGAGCTTATTGACATGTCCGCCGTGTGCACCTGGAGTTGGATATATTAGCCCAAGCATAGCCAAGGCTTCTGTATGCTGAAGGGAGACGTGAAGGAAGAGCAGTTCTGCTCCTGGCTCTCTCTTCTGTTAATTGTAGCATGTCAACCCAGCATAATGTTTTTATGCTTGAAAGTGCACCCTAAGAAAGGCTTGGGGCTACACCGGGATCCAGAACACCCTGTGTAGTCACTGGCGGGTTAATAAAGACTTAAACCTGTGTCCACATAATCTTCTCTGGTAGCTACCCCACAACACTGGTTATACTGGCTTGTAATCTCAAATACTCAGAAGGCTGAGACAGAAAGAGTGCAAACTCCTGTCTAAAAAGAAAATGAAAGGCAGGGGCAGGGGGATGAAGAGAGAAGAGGGAAAAGAAGAAGGTCAGCGGCATAAAACGGTATTATGTGACATTCACTAAATTCTCCAGTGAAGCCAGAGGCAAAAGGAGGCCTCTGGATTGCTCTCTGTGGTGTTAGTGGAATTGTCTGCACGACTTTATCCGTATGGTTTTAAGTTCCTTAAGTCAGCAAAGAAAGCAGATAGGATCTGCAGCTTCCTCAGGGCTCATCACCTGAATGTGCCCCTGAGCTTCCGAGTCCCATCACTTCCGCTAATTGGATTGCAAGACTCTGCTGATTTCTTTTCTCTCTCTTTCCTTTTTTTCAGTGAAAAATGATTTGATTAGGAAGTGTGTAAGCACATACAAGGAGTGAGAAAATGACAGAGATACAGTATCAGAAAGACAGCACACACACGCTCAACGCTCTTTCCAGACATACGTTTATCCATTAACATATGTTTAAGCTGAGAATCTATAGATACAGAACTCATGTCCTGTTAGCTACGAATGAGGTAGGTGAGGTTTTCGTCTTCGTAGAGCTCACAGTTTAGAAGAGGCTATAGACGTGCAGTCAGGCAATTTATAGCACAGCAGAAAACCTAAGTTGCTAATATAAAACAGAGAGGGCAGCAGCTCAGTCTGTGGATAAATATGTCAGGAAGGCATTCTGGACAGCAAGCTCCATTCTTAAAGTGTGGAACCTGGGGCTGACGCCTGTGCAAACCTTGGGAGACTGCTAGGCATACAAAGTCTTCAGCACGCATAGACAGACTTGAAATTCTGGATGTGACGCAGAAACTCCTGTTTCGTTTCCTTGTCAGGGATTCAGACATAGGCTGGAGTTCACTGAGACCTGGAGCCTTAGGGAGCTGCACGTCATCGCTGATGCTGTGGCCTGGCACCACATGGTGCTGATTTAGTTGGACTGGAAAAGGGCCTCAATCTAAGAGGATTTGAAACCTGTGGTTAGTATACTGTGACTCTAGGCAGGCTGGAAACACCTCTGTGCTGAGGCCTCAAGCGCAAGTTAGGCACTAAGGACCGAGGAGAGGATAACAGGGACCTTATAGGCAGTTGTGCATACCCCCTCCCCCCGCAGCCCTTATGAAGGAGCCTGGCACAAACCTCCATGGTATAAAATAAGCTCACAGTTGCAAACGTGAATGTTTACTGCTGAGCTTCTTACACTCGAGTGTAAATAGACCCATCTGAGAGTCTTGTAGAGACGGGCACTTATTTAGGGGGTGGGGGCAGAGAGTACATTTCTAATAAGCTCAGGAATGCTCATGTTGTTGGCCGGCGAAACTGCTTGCTTGTATCACCCAGCTTTCCCCAAGCATACATATCAAGAGTAGGTGGAGATGGCACAAGGATATAGTTATCCATTGGCCCCAGGAATCATGGAAAGGCGACTAGTTGCAGTGAGCTGCGGAAATCGGATGCTGAATGGGTATGCTTGGAGGGTAGGGAGGAAAGTTGCAGCCTACACAACCTCCCTGCCAGCTCTTCAGGTTATT